TGCACTATATAGGGGATAGGGAGAATAATCCCTATATACTGTATGGTAGTTGATTGCACTATATAGGGGATAGGGAGAATAATCCCTATATACTGTATGGTAGTTGATTGCACTATATAGGGGATAGGGAGAATAATCCCTATATACTGTATGGTAGTTGAGTGCACTATATAGGGGATAGGGAGCGGTTTCGGACACAGCTTTCGTTTTTCGTTGATCACATGATTCTGAAAACAAGTCACCTTCCAGCACAGAGTTTATACGCGCTTTGAAGCTTCAGTGTCATATGTAACATTACTTTTAGTAATGTATTAGTAATATTTGTTAGACTTAAAGCCCAAATTCAGAACTTGATTTGACACTGTTGCTCTGTTAAGATGCAATCCGTAACTTTTTTTTGTGTTAAAAATTTACAAAATTAATATAATAAGCTAGTACATCATTAATTAATTTTCCAAACAGTGTTTTGGCGGAATCACTACGGTACACCTATAATAAACTTTTATATTCGGACTATTTGGTGGAACCGCTGCGGAGTAGCCCAGTACCTGCGTGATTCGTCTATACACCAAAAGTAGTGCTGTTTTGGCGGGGGAAAAAAGTCCGCGCACAAGGCTGCCTCCGTCACCACCGTCAGCCCCAGAGCTGGTTGGCTGACGCTGGTGTAGTCAGTGACGTATCCAACCCAAAAGGGCGCAGTCGTCGTATTCCGTGAATAAAGAAATAACGAGTTCGGGCTTTTAAACATCTCTGTTTGTGCGTGCGGCATATGAGGTGTATTCTGCGCATAGACTGTGGTTCTACGACTCTGTGAGTAATTCTCTCGTTGTGCTGTTCTTAATGAAATTGATTACTGCTTGGAGTTTTAGAATAATTATCATAACATGCTACCATGGTCTCAGTCTGTTAATGAAGCCATGCACAAAAACTGCCTCTTCATTTTGCCTTCCTTTTTTTTTAGTGGTTTAACAGCACGTACGCCTCAAGTTAGTAAAAGAAAAGTAATAGGACAAGAAAATGTAAAAATGTGTATCTTTGATTTGACTCATTTCACTGAAGAGCTGTTGATATTGTGGTGCGATTTAACCATCACTTGCCAACTGACCAGTTACTCCATTTATTTGACATATAATGAAATATAGCTAAATATGACAAAAAATTATTTCCCAATTATTTAGTTTTCATTTTGTGCATATCTATTGTGTTTAGCCTAGGCCTATATGTCGGTAAAATATGCTTCATTGTACGAGATATTATATTCAAACGCAACTTAAATGCAATATTCTAATAAGAATAAATAAAATATTCAATACAACCTTTTAAGCTTACATGTTTTAGATCATTTACATATGATTCTTAAGTTGCAAGGCTTGCTGTCAGGTGCTGCTGCGGTTTATTAGACACATGGATGGGTGTTCAGGACAGGCAGTGACATCTTTCGTTCTTTTTGTGTACTAGACTCTATACTTCTAAACTTCGCAAAATGATTGGCTGTTTCTAAAAGTTCAGAAACACTACACGCAGGTGACGCCTGCTGGTCAAAACTGTGTAAATCCATCAAAAACTCAGCCTGAACATGAATAAAACACCTTTAAAAACCAGTTGCTAATGTTTTACTAAGAATGTAATTGATTTAATGCCATTAACAAATCATCTAATAATACAATCAAATATTAAGTGTCTATTAAGTGTTTATTTTATTAAATTGTAGAGCTTTCGTTTGTTTAGGCTAATAGGAGACTATTAACTACAACTGTTATTAGCCTACAGATGTGTTAAAGAATGTCTACAAATGTATAAAATCGATCAGAGATACAGTAAAAACCATACATTAATGAGCTCGTCCAGTAACAAACAATTAAAATGATAAAAACCATTTGAAAAGAGATATGATTTAACAATGCCTCATTTCGAAAATATTCATCTCTACTGGGTAATTCCTGATTATGACATGTTGGCACCAAATGTTACAAATATTAAGGACTGTATACAAGAAACACACTTGTTGCCTAAATGTTACATTTAATGTCATTTTTGTTTAACCCTTTAACTGGCGATGTATCCTATAGGGCAGTGTTTCTCAACCAGGGGTCCGTGGACCCCTAGTGGTCCTTGACGTAAGGCCAGGGGGTCCATATAAAGTATGAATTTTTGTATACATTTTGTATATTTTGACAAAAAAATCCAATATAGCTGATGATATGGCCAAATACTGGACAAGTCAGCTAACTTGAATTATACTTGACTGTATTTGGTCCTCACAAAGACACACAAATGATACATAGATGAGTCAGTTTTGTTCTGGGGGTCCTTGAGGATGGTTCTGAATTGGACTGGGGTCCGGTACGCCAAAAGGTTGAGATTCACTGCTATAGGGGATACAAAAATTTGAGAGGCTGTGGGCAGGGTGCGAAATACACAGTGACTATATTTTAAATCGGGCTGCCAAGTGATACATTTTTTAAAAATTGAATTAATTACTTAATATGCCGATTAATTAATCAAATTAATCTCAAATTAATTAGATAAATGAATTAACATGCACATTTAATATCTTTAGAAAGAAATATTTTAATTCAACATACAAAAATACAAATAAATAGTGAAATATGAAATTATTTATTATGCATTACGCGTTGCAATATGTTTATATTTATAAAACCATGTCTGCATTTGTGATCGGAGAAATGACAAACAACAAGCCCTACTCTACACTGCCCAAAAAACGTACTTACAGTCTTTGAGTCAGAACTACAGAACATTGTAGTCTACTCTCCCAGGATCAGGAAACAGTCCTCCATAAAATGCGATGTCCTCTTTTGGAAGACCAAACAAAGTAGTTTCACTTTCACAATGAAACACCGCGTCACACACGGGTGGCCTAGAGTGAGCGGAGGCCGGTGGGCTTGAGAACGGCGCGGCCGGCGGATTCGACGAAGGAGCGTCCGGAGGGCTTGTGGCAACCACATGTGACGACCCCGGGCTGGACTCCGCTTCGTCCACGGTGAAAGCCGATCCGGCGATCCACAGCGCGAAGTTGATGTAAACTTCGATATCGTCCTCTTTTGGAAGGCCAAACAAAGTAGTTTCGCTTTCACTACGAAACAAACAGTGTCTTCACGACATGGCGGCAACAACAATACTACAGCGAGAATAAAAGTTACGGCTTCTTTCTTTGCGTGAACATTTGGCCGGTGTTATGCAAATATTTGCTCACTGCTGAACGGTCCAGTATCTGTTTGTGATCTACCTTCTTGGTGCTGAAAATTAAACTTGCAGACCTCAGGTGTATCTCAAGTGCCCGTTACTTAAACCTCTCGCTTTTATCCCTTTAGAAAAGATTATGATCGTTTCCTAAATGTTACATATCATATAATAAGTGGAAGTGGAAGAGGAAGAGGAAATTGTGAGACAAGTTAGGAAGAAGATAATGCCCAACAAACTGCAGTTCAATCATCAGAAGAACAAGAAGAGGAAGAACAAAAAGGAGTCTCAAACTAAAGGGTCAAGAGATACAAACACAGTGAAACCTGTGAGATGCAACAGCATGGAGCGTCTTTCACCCACGTGTGAGTATTGCATTAGATTATCTCTCACTGATGAAAAATTACAAAAAAGTGAGCATTTTTCCATTATCATAACACCAATCTTTTCAATGATGAAAAGTTGATTTAAACCTGCTATAGGACATCCACATATACTGATGTTTTTTTTCTCTCACTGATATTTCAGTGTCTGGTGATCAAGCTGTAGAGTCTCATTCTAATGAATCAGAGAAGGTCCAGGATGAGGTGACTTTACATTACAGACAGTTGTAATATACTGAATGATCATGATATTCAAGAATGTATTTTAGTGCTGACTAATATTTGTGAATGAAAATTCATGCTGTTTCAGAGAACACCAGGACCTTAAACTCCAGAATGTGATGGGGGTTCATTCACCATCCTGGATAACTTTCCTCAGTTGTCCAGGATATTCAGACCGTCCTCCATGGCTGCGCATTTGGAGCTGCATTTGTGTTCCTCTAGCAAACATACTGCACATTTGAATTATCTTATGTTTATATATTAAATAATTATATATAATAGAAATTATATGAATAAAAATATACATGTATTTACATGTAAATATTTTCAAAATATATACTGTATGCGTTTGTATTTATATAAATATACACAGCATGCACACATACAAAAACTTTTATTTTGGATGCGATTAATTGCAATTAATTGTTTGCCAGCACTATGTGTGAAGGAAGAGTTTAGAAGAGAGCAGCACGTGTATACAGAGATATTTAATGAATGATATCAGGAGATATTTAATGAAGTAATTCGAATTACACATGCATTGCAGCCACATTATTTCAGACCCCACATTGGGAACTGTTGTCTTCAAATCTTTAAAGGGGTGGTTCAGTGTTTTTTTTTCTAGGCTTGATTGTGTTTATGGGGTGCAGTCTAACATGTGTTAATGCCTAATTTAAAAAAAAACACATTATTTTCCACTTAATTTAGCTTTATTCCACACCGCTCTGTCCCTTCTCTGAGAAACATGCTGATCATTTCCTACTTTTATGAAGCCCCGCCCTCAGAAATAGGCGATGGGCTCTCATTGGTTAGCTAGCCCAGTGTGTTGTGATTGACTAAACCGCCTCTAGTGCGTCCCGCCCCTCACCTCAGCGGCATGTGCTCCGGTTGTATTGTAAACAAGGCGTCGTTAATATCACTTATCAGTTTGAGCCCGATTGAGAAGCAGAGGATATTATTGAAGAGGATCATGCAGAACCTGTGCAAGCACAGCCTTTAATGGTAGGCCTATGTTTTTTGTTTGTTGTTGTCTCATACTTTTAGATAGGTTAAAAAAGTGAAATCGCAATCAACCACCCCTTTAAGTCTTTTAACTGTTGTTTAACTGACTTCTTGATGTTACTGACTTTTTTATTTTTTTGCACTGTTTTATATTATTTTATATCGGTTATCTATTTTTACGTCATTGTTTTACATTATAATTGCCATTCTTTTCCGCTGACTGCATAATTTTCCAAAAAGCTTTCAAAAATATAAGTATTGGTTTATGAAAAAGGTGTCAAAAGTTGTAATAATTACCAAGCTTATTTGTGGTATTTTTTTATTCTTAAAGAGACCTTGCAAAGCATTTGACCTGTTGTTTATCTTTTAGAAATTAATTACTTATGATAGTCAACTAAAAAGGAAAGCCTAATTTAATAGCAATTCGTTTGTAGCTAGTTTGTGAACTCTTTAGTTGACCTAGTGAATGATACTTTTCATCAAAACGTCAACTTTTCATCAAACGTCAAATATAACTTTTCATCAAACATGCTGCAATAGATGTTTATCAAAGATATACTTTTTACATCTACTTAACCACAGTGGTAACTCCCAAAACACCAACATAACAGTGGTCTTTTAAAATACCAACATATAGACCATCAGACATTAACATTAGTTGGTTGATACTCTATGCTTAGTAAAAGAGACAGACGCAAACTACATAGTGAGGTTTTGAATGCAGCCATTGCTTTGATAAGTTTTGTGCAGATTTTTGTGTTTGTTTGTTTATTGTTTTACAACAGATTTGTCAATACAAAACCATAAATAGGCCTAGCCATAAAGAGTGTGGAGTGTTTTGACTCAAAATGGCAAGTAGCCATTTAGTATCAATACTATCTATCAGTATCAATATTTTAGTATCTATATAGCCACTCTCTGGAAAATATAAAGCAACATGAACAAGCTCCAGAACATCAGGGGTTAGGTGAATTCAGATAATCTGCACAATTTCTTTATGGAGAAAGTTGATTTTTATTTATGTAATCACATCTACTGTCGTGTTTTAATTAAATTTAGGGAATATTTATTTAGTTGCACTGTAAAATAAGAACACCCAAGTACCCTGATACCATACTCTCTGAACTCTTTTGCTACTAATTTCAGATTACAAATGCTGTAGGTATTGACATGCACAAGATAAGGACTGCAAACAGTCACACTCTCCCTCACAATTTCACCCATCATCTTGCATTTTATGAGAAAAATAAACTGTCTTTATACTCTCTTTCTTTTATAAAATGCAATACATTCATTTTCATCGCTGATATCTTCAACCATAGGCTATGCATCTCTGCAACCCGAAAAAAAGGGTGGAAATCTTCAAGCAGCTCCCAAGAAACAGAGTTTCTTGCTAGAATGGTTAATAGTTGAACTGACCTCTGTTTTTACGTTTTATATTGTGCATTTCAGGTGATAAAATTACAATTATAATACAATTATAGCAACTATACTTTAACAAATATAGTATTATACCAACTATACTTTGTCTCGGGTGATCATCGTCTCACCCAAAACTAGTATTAATGCCTGGTGTAAAAAAAACGGTCTAAAATGGCTTAGAGTTGAAGATAGTATTTATGTTGCCACCAGCGTCAAAAGAAATTGAATGTATGTATTTATGAATTCAATTTCTTAAGTATGAAACACTAAACACGTTCTCTGAGCATTACAATTACACTAAATAATATTTTTCTGTTTAAGATTACAGTGTTCTGGACTTTATACTGACATTTATCAATGTAGAATCATGCACAAGCAAATGCCTCTTATTAGCAGGCTTATTTGTTTCCTGTGTGATTCATGGTCATGTGATCTCTGTTATTTGTAGAATAAAACTGCTTTTGCTACTCCACTGATTGGAGTCTTATACGGTGTCCGAGAAGTGCAAAACAAATCACAATTCTGAAAACAAAATAACAAATTACAAACGCAAATGCAAGTCTAAAAAACAAAATAACAATTCAGAAAACATTATAACAAGTCAGAAAACACAATGACAAATCTGAAAACAAAATAACAAGTCACGAACCCGGGTCGATCGCGTCAAAAAGCCAACGACGCACACTTATCTATCTGCACCACTGGAGCTGATGATTTACAGCCATTTTTAACTAAATGTAAATAGACACCCCGTATTTTTTATTCCATAGTAAGGGTAAGTCATACAATACATTTAAACTGAGCTACTTTAATACCATCTCCGAACTTTCTACCACGACTCTGCTGTTCTTCGGCTGGTTCTTCCTGTATACGTTGATTGACAGATGTCTCGTCCAGTCAGCGGTGAGTAATCCCAAACCAATGGCGCTGTCTCAAACTATACCTACCTTTTCCGGTTTGTCTGATTTGTCGTTGTGTTTTCTGACTTGTTAATTTGTTTTTGGATTTGTCGTTGTGTTTTCTGACTTGCTATAATGTTTTCTGAATTGTTGTTGTGCTTTCTGAATTATTTTGTTTTTTAGACTTGCATTTGCGTTTGTAATTTGTTATTTTGTTTTCAGAATTGTGATCCGCTTTGCACTTCTCGGCCACCGTACTATCCCTTTAATTGCACTTCGAATTGTTGTTGTGTTTTCTGACTTGTTATAATGTTTTCTGAATTGTTGTTGTGTTTTCTGAATTGTTATGTTGTTTTTTAGACTTGCATTTGCGTTTGTAATTTGTTATTTTGTTTTCAGAATTGTGATTTGTTTTGCACTTCTCGGCCACCGTAGTCTTATCACATTTTAAGCTTTCAAAAGTACTGTGGATGTTGAACTTTTGTAAGTGAAAAAGGTAAGTGGGTAGTAATTTATTTAAACTTTAAATTCACTGTTTCCACACCTTTTTTGTGCTGTGTATCCTGACAGTCCCATCAAAAAAGGTTCAAGTTCCATTTCATGTGTTTTGTTGAACTCATACTGAATATAATATAGCATCATTGTTATTGTTATTATTGAAGGTCATTATTACAATTATTCACTTTTAAGCTAAAACCAGTCAATAAGGAGGGTGGTATACAAAAGTCAAGCTCTGTTCTCTGTAGAGAGTGTTTCAATAATTCTGTCCACTAGATAGAGCTACTAGCTTGAATTTTATTCTGAAAACTTCAGCTGCTGACATGAGGGTGCATTATAGGCAAATCTCGTCAAATTCTGTTTTACGTTCATACTTCATTATGAGTTCTTAATATACAAAGCTGGTCACCCACAATACTAATTTCCAATGCACTGCTAAATGCAAGCTGATGCAAGAAAAGCAGGTATGTTTGTGTCTTGGCCATAAACAGAAACAAGATCTTGTGAAAATAATAGCTAAAGCGAAAAAGGAAGTTCTAATGTCAATTGTAAAAGCAAACTAAATGCCACAATCTCAAAAGATTACATTAAAATGTCATTATATTGCCCTATATTATAAAACCAAAAACTGTAACGTAAAAAAAAATAATGATTTATTATATGCTTAAATCATTTATTGATCTCCTTGTTCTCTGTATAGGCCTACCATTAGAAACATTATAGCCATCTTTCCACAAGAATCTTTTTTTTTTCTTTTTTTTAATCAGACAAGCTTTATCTGTAGCTGTCATTAATTTTCCAAACATTTAAGCCATAAAAGTTTTGCCAAAATGCGATAGCCTATGCATTTACATAGGCCTACTCTGAATTATTTTTACATTTAACATTTACTACTATACCCCGTGTGATATTTTTTACCACCCACCTGCCTAAAATGTTTTAATTTCTTAATTATACTTTTATATTCCAGCTGTCTATAGAGATATTTCTAATGTTTGTGTGAGGCAAGTCTATACGCTGAGTTTCAGTTCATTTTTGGGACCCGCTCCAGTTCACGGAGACCGAGACGGCAGAAAGCGCATTGTGTTTGTTTTCTTTGTTTTCCGAAACACAACGATTTATTGATAATTGACTAACCGACTAATACATTTTTTGTCGACCCTTCTCCTTGACTAATTAGGGGGCAGCTACATAAAATATACTGAGTGAAAAATACTGACAAATGTATTTGCAAAATATTACTTCTCAACACAGGCCTATACAGTATATCTACATTTTTTCCTTATTGCCTTCATGATCTGTAATTGAACAGGATTCCTTTTAGTGGGAATACAGATATTGTTATATAAACAAACCTCAGGAAAACTAAAGAGTTTGTCTTGTTTGAATAATTAAATAATTATCACACATG